TGGTATCTATTTGAAAAAGCCGAACGTAGACGGCCAACGAGATGAACTGACTGTCGACGAAGAGACAAAATTCAGCCATAACGAACAACCGTTTTGTTTTTCAGAAATTGACGCACCTCGTAGGACTGGGGACGAACAACTGCACTCGAGGTTAAGGCACAAAGCTAAATCGAGTTTAACCGGTTTGGATGGTTTGAAATTGTAAAAATCACTCACTAAGTGTAAAACTAAGTAAACATAAAAAAGTGCACCTCAACTATTAAATGAAAGGCTTATCTTTTACTGAAAAGGTTTAAAATTAACTTGCCTTCATTCTTTAGCGGCTAAACTAATTTGATTTCTGTTCGTTTACCAACAGTTTTGCGTTTGACAGGCGTAATCGTGATTGCTTTCATAAATTTAAACTTAGTTTTAATAGGAAAGAATAGCTGAAGCTTGTTATAATCAAGTTCTGTCATTTAAAATGAAATGGTAATTCCTCCAAGTGTCTCATAAATGTTACTAAATATATTTATCAGTAAACCTTCAAATCTAATTTTTGCGAAAGACAATAGTTCTCACTTCTACATAATCAGTTTATAATGTCAGTGTAATTAAACTGATAAAACTGTCTTCGTCAAATGATATTCCTCCCTAATAACTCATTTAGAACGTTCTGTGACATTTCTTTTGATTGTTACTGTTGCTGAATTATTAACGTAGTTTGGGACCTCTCACCGTAAAGGTGAGATGTACATACGCTTTGTGGCAGTGTTAAATAAATTTATACGAGTGTGGCTGTTGATGAAACAGTTAGCCAGCCAGACCGTAACTACCATTGTGCATGTTGCGAAGTATACAGGCTACGAATCTCCATATATTAGAAAGGCATCAAAACGTGGAAGGAAACCATGGGCGAGTTTGTCAATAAGGGAAAATGCAGTCAGACAGCTGACATGGCTCCTCAGTGGGGAGTGGGGTGAGGAACAGCGAAAACGGAGGAATGTGAAGGGACAAGGATTCACCCTCCCCCCTCTCCCTGTTCCCCAAGGGAGAGGGGGGAGGCTCCCCACTTTGGAGCCTGGCTCCAGGCAAAGCTCAATGAAACAAGCTTTAAACAACCTGAGAAACTCACATTCGGTTGTCTTCCAGGTTGGAGTTTACTTCTATGATGGAGGATGTGGAATTCTCGAGGAAAACGAAATCTTCAACCACAAGTACTCAGGAATACAAATAAGGTAAAGATAACAACAGGGTGATTTCTTTTTGCAATCCAAGACCGGACCCAATATTGATCATCTCTTAAATTCTTTTCAAAACCGTAATAGTTGTGTAGAGGTAGACTGACCACTAGCATACCTGCGTATAACCAGGCGATTGAAATGGTAGAATCCATACATTCTTCAATAGATCTTCATACGTGGTTTGCGTCTAATTTCGTGTGCATGTCAAAGACTCGTGAATTGTATTTGGAAAGGATGTGAAAATATCCTTTTCATGCTTATCGATTGGTTCTTGAAGCTTACGCGTGAGACGTAGCTTTTACGCATGCGCGTTGGAGCCCTGACGAAAGTTTGTGTCTGAACCTGAACAAACCCTAATTTTAAACTTGGACTTCATACGGAGCGTGCGAGTTAAAATGATCATATTTAGACCGCATCAAACTCATGGCCTTACACGTCTTTGTGGCGCTTAAATCAACTAAGCCTTCATGACAATTGCGAGACGCGTTAAATCAGTTCTCAGTTCAAAAGAGCTTTCTATTTTACTAACTTCTTTTACTTATCATGAAATATCTCGTACACTTTCCTTGCCGTAGGTCGGGAAGCAATCCCTGTATAAGAAGAAATAAGATTTGGGGAGGACAGAATGGAGGCGTTCTGGTCTACAATGGAGGTAAAGTATTAAAATTTTGCAATTTTAACATACGATACCTTGGCTTTGAGCAGTTCATATTGCTGTCCAACAATAATTTATTTATTACTCCTTAAATCAGAAAGGAAAAAAAAAAGGAACATTTCGCTTCAGTCATTTAATTGTTTTCGTTATTCAAGGTCTTGGCCTGTTAGAAGAAAACGAGATTTTCGACAATGCGATGGCAGGTGTCTGGATCAAGACTGAGAGTAACCCAGTCCTTCGGAGAAACAAGATTCACGACGGTCGGGAAGGAGGAGTGTGTGTGTTCAACCATGGAAAGGGTAAGGCCTTGAACTCTTAAGGAATCCTCGGAACCAGGGTGCTGTGCAGAGTTAGGGATCCATTGTGGCTGGAATCATATCCTTAAACCCTTTTGACGCACCACGGCTAGTTTGTCCCTTTAAATCCTAAACAACTCTCCCCGTTTAACTGTGCAACGCATTTCTTTGTAAATTTAGTTGTGAATTTTATTTCGAAATAAAAGTTTCAAGCTGTTAAGTTTCTCTATTCTCCTTTCTTTGTGCTGGACAATCTTATATGTTGTTCTAAGGACAAGTTAGATTCCAGTCTAGATTCCAGTCACCCTAGGGAGATGAATGGGTTAATCATCGTTGAATTCCTTACCAGGACGATCCGCTATCTTTTGTCAATAAACCGTTGATACACCTCGCTGTCACTAATTTAATATTCTATTCCTTTTCAGGCGTTTTAGAGAATAATGACATCTTTCGAAATGCCTTGACAGGTAAGCCTCCTAAGTTTGGATAGATTAACAGTTCATTACCTTGTAGCATAGGTAGGTTTTTCTGGAATTATTTTCCGGTTATATGTTCCGTGTTATGTTAATTTTTGTTTAACACCCACGACATAAATTTAAATATCAACTTTCGAATCTGCTCAAAAAAACTATTTTTTTTTTCGAAAATCGTGGTTGAGCTGTTAGGGTTCTTGTCATTGAATTGTCTAAAAGCTACGCCAAAGTGATGAAAACGGACTCTAAGAAAAAACGCGATCCAAGCACAGCAAAGAACCAGTCAAATTAAAAAAAAAAAGACAGGGAAACTTTTTGAAGGGCACGAAAACCCAGGTTTGCAAGTCGTAAGTGGTGTTAGTTTTGCATCTGATACATTGAGAGGATGACAGGATTTTTGAAGAAAAAAACTTACTTGAAAATTACTTTCATTCAAAACCTTGATAAACTCATAGCACTGGATTGATCCTGTGCGCTTCTCTGTTGTTCAGGTGTGCTTATCAGTACAGCCAGTTTTCCTGTGTTGAAAAGTAATCGTATTTTTGATGGTGGTGCCGCAGGAATTGAGATAACAAACAGTGCTGGTGAGCAACGCAACACCTTTCTTATTATCACTCTTTATCGAATGATCTTTATAAAATCTTACTCCTTTTGCTCCAGCCCACGTACAGGAATGTTCATTTTCATCATTTCTGTTTCTCTGGCTCTGTGCACTTCAGAAATCGTGTCTACTGCGTTACACCTTTTTGTGTATCTTGTAAAATTACGGTTTTCAAATTCACCTTCAGTGATCTGTGGTTATTCTCGTTACACAGCGAACCATTGTATCTAGGCTTTTATGTGTTTTGGGGAATTCCCTCGGTTTTCGAAATACATAGCCCAGTAAAAGCTTACTAAGGTTACTCAGGCTACGTGAAATCCAGGGTGCCCAGCATATGCTTTTTATGAAAAAACTGAGATTCCTGAGTCGCCCAAGAGCAAAAGTAAGGCGCCAGGGGCCACCAGGTGCTGCTAAACCACTACCCTGGTTACCTTATCAAGCACAATGCTCAGTGGTATTGGATTGTATTCAACACCTGAGATCGGAAGAAATGTTTCCACTGCGTTCCGCTCTCGCGTGGCCCCCTTGTTGTTGTGTTTTTATATAGTCGGTGTCCACGCTTCAACCAATAGAACTGATGGTGGTAGTGGTCGAGCTTAATAGTTTCCTCAGCAACTTCGCAAATGAACTCTTCAGGACACTGAAACGTTAGTTACTTTCATTACTGCTCTAATTTCCTTGAAATGAGGTAGCTCCTGCTTGGTTTATATCCTGATAATACACTAAGCCTTGAACGAATCGTATCTAATAATTTCAGGCGGAGTTCTGGAAGAAAACGAAGTCTTCAATAACCGGTTTGACGGAATCTGTCTGGCAACTGGTGTCGAGCCCAAACTTAGCAGTGAGTATAATGTTTGACTTACCCCTACCCTGTCAGTTTATCACTGTCACATTTTCTAGGACTAAAGCCGCATTACTACTCTTCCCCTCCCTCAGATAACAAAGTACACGGTAATAGAAGAGAAGTTGAGAAAGCTATAGAGTCTTGTCGCTGTTTGTATCAAGTGTCTGGTAACACGTGTTTTCCCATGCACGATTTTTACAGGTGAGTGTACTCAGTAAGAACTTTATGCGTCATAAACCCACCATCTTCCTATGCCACACTTTGGTTTGTCCGGCTGACCAGGTCCGCCTGAGCAAGTGTTAAACTTTTGACTTCTAACATTATCAAAACATTATCCAGCAAACAACCGATGAGATAGAAGGACGTTTTAGCCGGCTATAAAGTGTTATATCGACAGAAAAGCAAATTCCCTTTCAAATGATAAACAACGAATTGTACACGCGAGAATTACTTAATGAGTTGGAGGGATACTTTTTTATATTTATTTATTCGTCTATTTAACAATTGGTTCATGCTTTTGCGTGCACTATCGAGTTATGGAGCACGTGGGAAGTTTGGAGAGCACGAAAGAAGCGTAAGAGTTGCGCGAGGCAATAGGCGGATTCATGCGACGTCATTGTTTACATTTTTGCTTATTTGCATACGGCTTTGCGCAAAGAAGGAAGCATGTTAGATACAAATTGACTTCAGGCAGCTAAAGAGCTAGAAAACTTTAGTACATGGTGAAATTTTTAGCTCTTTGGGTGTAATATTCAAGGAGAAATAGTCCATCAAAAACTGCAAAATTTCTGGGTGGCAAAAGCGCTAATGAGCTCATACATTCTATGTAAAATTTTGAGTTTTTAAACCCGTGTTGCACAAAAAGTATTCAATGCATCAGGCTCGTATTCATTGGCCGAGTTAATCGTACTTTGACCTTTCGATATTCAGCACTGATTTATTTTTAGCTCCATCAGAAACTGAAGTGCTTATGCTAATGGGGCAAATATTGTAAACAAGGATTCCCCTATAGCCGAGGGCAACTCTAGTTTCTTTGAGTGCTCTCCAAACTTCCCACGTGCTCCATAACTTGATAGTGCACAGCTAAAAACATGAACCAATTGTTTTGTATCTTAGCCGGTGGAATTGTGCATCAAATCCGACGCGAAAAACGGAAAACAATATTAGAAGTGATTAGCGAAATATTAAGAAAAATAGGAATTGGTTTTATTTCAAATTTTCTGTTGAAAGCTCGATTTTTATTTAATGCAGTTTAAATACAGAATTTGTTGCATTTCACCCTCGCACAGTGAAGCGAATCGTGACGGCGCTGATGCCGAGTCTCCTTTTCCGTTGTTTTTCTCTTTTTCTGCCTCATTTAAGAACTCTGGCCCAAGGGAAAGGGTCGGGAAATTGTCTTCGTTTTGGGACTGGTGGGCCGAGCCTCTGTATTCAATATTGTCGCGAAATATATTATTTTTCCCCGCGCTAACAATGGCTGCTCGCGCGAAAAAAAAAATTCTGGCGAAGCGATTTGCGCACGCTATCAACGTACACTATCGGGATTTTGAGCACGCTTACGTATACTGAATTTGATTGCGCGGCTCTGCTAGCTATGTTATCATTATTTTTGTTCCCTTTTCTTGTTCTTAGTGCCTTGCCGTTTTTTTGAAGACGCCAAATCACCAGTCTGAGCTGAGTTTAGAATATGGTACTCGCTGTCGCCAGAGTTAAACCTCTCAATCTTTTTGTTTGTCTGCTGGAGAGTCACTCAGTTTACAACTTAGTCTACCAATCTTTCAAACACCAAAGAGACCGTAATTAGTTAAATTTAGTCGATTCCATTAATAGGAAATGATCATAAGCAATCCAAGTCAATTTTAGCTAACTGACCTGTACTATTTGGTCACAATGGGTGAACACAAACTCTAAAGAGGTCTCTTGTTAAAGTTGCAGCACGGATATTTACAACTTTAACCTTTGATTGGTTTCCTAATAAGTCATCACTGCTTTCTTGTTACAGACTTATCTCCTAACGAGTTTATACTATACTTAGGTGCACCACCTGTGGTACGTCGGATGGTTATGCCATTTGCGTCAGCTGCGTGAAAGGATGTCACGAGGGACATGACGTGAAGTTTGTCAGACGTGACAGGTATAGTGATTCACCACTGATTGTATGACAGGCTTTTTATTGATGGTTAAGAACATCAGCGCTCAATGGCACTCTCGGTTGCGCCTCGTGTGCCATTTTTTTTTCCTCGCCACTTTTTGACGTCATATGTGATCATTATGAAGCACAGCAACATGGAATCTTTTTTTTTTTCTAAATTGGATTCGGAATTTAAACCGTTAATCGGTGCTGTAATCAAAATCAGGTCTCCTTTGCCACATGCTTGATAAGTGGTGGGCTGAAGAGGCGGAAGCTTCATTTGGTGAATTAAAAACCTCTTTGGACAGTATGACACTTATCAAATAGATTCCATGCTACCGCGCATCTCTTCAGTTAGAGATCAGAGATGATGTCAATGATCACTGCTATTCTTACCAACGTTTTGACGTGTTCTGTAATCTTTTACTGTACAGACCCATGGTAGTAGGGAATCTGTTATTTTCATATTATAAATAGTAAAGCGAAATGCGGTTCATGGTGACGTCATCTTTCCGTCTGTCCCTCCAATACATCAAAAGTAAGAACCAATCAAAATGCGTGAGACTTTCAGCTTTTCCCAAAAATTTTCAATGGAAGTAATCCAGTTAGGGTGGATTAAATCTCCAGTCTCATACTTCTGATACCGTGACGAATTTGTATTGAATTTATGACAACCAAATCAGCGACAGAAGTCGTCGTCGTGCTCTTCCCTGATTCGTTTGTTAATTTCTTTCCTCTCCCATCTGGAAAGTTGTTTTTTTTTTAAGTTAGTTAACTTTCGATTATTGCAACGCTTCTGGCCATGATGCGCATCTTGAGGTGGATGATGAGAAATTTTTCTATTCATCTCTAGGTTTTTCTGCGACTGTGGAGCAGGTTCTAGTGGAGTTCTTTGTAAACTTGTCAGCGGTAATTGCTGGTCAGTGACATCCCGGACGCAGGCAGCGAGAGTGGCCAGCGGTGGTCAGACAGAAACGTCTGCGCAAGAAGTTCGAGGGAATCAGGCGCTTTGCGTTTCTTAACGACTCGAGGATATCGAAGAAAATTAAAGAATCTGATAGCAACATTAAGATTTAAAAGAGAAAACAAGTTTTAAAAAGTTTTAAATTATTCTCAACACATACAGGAGTCCATTACCCGGAGCTTCCATCTTCCATACTGACCCTCTGAGCCAACCCTGTCCCGTATCTTTCTATTTTTAGAAGCACCTCCCACGGCGGTTTTCGCGGATGTTCTTATAATAGCCAATCATAAGACAGCTGTCGTCTCTATTGTGT